CTATGGAGTCCGAGCAAAATCAGTAAACTTCCCTCCTTTGAGTTTACTCCACTAGGTAGCAGTTACGATCAGAGATGGCAGCATCATAATTTACCTACACGTATATCCTCGTCAGATCCTATGGTCAGATCAAGCGCATTTCGCCTCTGAGATCGTGGGTTCGATTCTTGGTGCGGACTCTGGACACTTAAAACTAAAGAGCCAACGCTCTACCGGAAGTCGTAGGTTTTCTCCGAGTACTTCTGTTTCCTCAACCTCGCAAGCCAGGGTCTTTATAAAGACCCTGGCTTGCGAGGTTGCTGTTTCCTCCCACATGGAATGTTGATAGGGTGGGTTGGGATAAGCCCCTAACGGACCCGATCATTAAGGGGGGTAAGCCCCTACCTAACTGACTCCAAAGCCTTCGACTCGATCAGATTGAGCTGCATCCTACGCAATTCAGCTTAGCTCTCAGCTGCAAGTAATGGTAAACTCCCCCCCCCCCCTATATGAAAGACATTGCAATTATTAGCATTGAAATCGATATAATGCCAGTAATTGTCCATTTATTACTTCTACGGTTAATCCCCCCCCCCCCTATATGAAAGACATTGCAATTATTAGCATTGAAATCGATATAATGCCAGTAATTGTCCATTTATTACTTCTACGGTTAATAACTGTATGTTGATTGATTTAAAGGCAGGTAATGCCAGCGTTTTGCAGTGACTATGGACAATGTTCACCGTCCTTCTTCAACTCTGTCTGTTACAGTCAAAGTACACAAAACGTTCCCACTTCCGCCGTCTGTTGACATTTTCTATAATTTGTTCTGTATTACTGTAACGGTTACAGAGTATAGACAAATACCGTGATGAAATTCAAATTCCGCACCTTTTATGTGTTAAAATGCAGTGAATCTAACGAAAAATGTAGCCTTTGCTACAAATTATAATATAAAACAAAGAAAACTAAATTTTGTCGCCATATTTGACCATAATTTGGTAACCGCTACAGACTGAAAACAGAACAATTTACAGAAAATTACAACAGATTGCGGAAGTGGAAATATTCTTGTATTTTGACTGTAATGTTATATCTGGGTGACAACACTGCAAGCGATTTAATCCTTTTATTCTGTGTCCGTTTCTTACTCATTACACATTAGCTTGCATTTGAGCAAACACACTAAAACATACGTTTCGTCAACGCTAGGCCTGGTACACGTACAAGTGGTGAACATTCCTTCTTTTGAGTTGTTTCTCATCTTTGATTGTAATTACCAACTACCAGCGACAAAATGTTTCTGGTGGCCGGCAACTACGATCAACGAGATATCACGAATTCCTGCAGAACGTTGGAATTGCTGCATTTTAATACAATTGTTTATTTTTCTGTGAGACCAAGCCAATGTTAATTCTATATGCCTGGTAACTGCCTTCTTTTCTTCACCGATAGAATCTTGCATTGTGATCATCATCCCATCTTCGACTGTGATTACCCGCTATTTGAGAAAACTATATCTCTCGATTTAGTTACCCACAAAAGGTGTATTCTGTATGTATATGTATGTACTAGGACTAGGTGAATTGTTCAAATACAGCCATCTTCAAACATAAGCTATTAATTTTATTTCAAATTTGGAATGACGTCTATATTATTTATCAGTTTCCTTTGTTCTACGTTTACGGGATATTTTTCCTCTCTCATCACCACCATCTCTTGAATCGCCAGTTATATTAGTGATATGCAGCCAGAGATTAGATATTATCATCCACTAAAATACCACGTACTAATGAGGCGGAAATTCTCGCTTGTTTATGAGAGATCGATTTTCCTCTGGCTCTAGAGATAGTTCCGAACGTGTACATTGTAGTAGAGTCGATAAAAATGGATTTTCTTCTCTCTGACGTCATCTTTGCTCTGAAAATCTAAGTTTAACTAAGGGTGGGGTCCGGGGAAAAAATAAGAAAATTTGCAAAAATCACCCATGCCCTCCAGGGCCGTAAGTGAGTCCGTAACTAGACGCGATAATTTGGGGGGGGGGGGGTATATTCATGTTCACATACCATAAGGGACCGGTCATAAAGTAACTGCTAGGGTGGGCTGAAGTGATTTGGGATGGGCCATGGAAAATCTTTGGGCAGTTTCGATGGGCCGCCAAATTTTTTGTATGTCCACGGTTGGGCCACCAAAAAAAAAACCCATGCATGTCTACTTCAAAAAATAAAGATATTAATAATAAAAGTAAACAAAACTATCCAAATTATCAAATGCAAATTATGCTATTGAAGCCAGTACTTTGTTTATACAACAACAAGAAGTGGTCGAATCACAGCAAATACAACCAAATGGAGAGCAGCTCAGTATCGTAATTGGTGATGAATGTGTTGGTCAATCTTGGTGGAATTATGTATGTCAAAACAGTGCCGGTGTATATTTAGATTGGGTGGGTCATGAAAAATTTCTTGTAAGATTAGATGGGTTTTGAAATTTTTATCTACATCCTAAGATGGGTCACCGAACTTATTGGCAAAATTTGTGATTTACCTCTAGCCCACCCTAGCAGTTACTTTATGACCAGTCCCTAAAAACAATTGCTTTCAAAAGAAATCCGTCGGGCAGAACACGAATATATGAATATGCACCCCCCTCCCCCAATTATCGCGTCTAGTTACGGCCCTGATGCCCCCCCCCCATAAATAATGAACAACCCCTTATTTATAATTTATGCACGTCACAAAATTAAATATTTGAAATGTAGATATAACCAAGTAGCATTATACACATTGGTTTTAACTTCATTATTACATAGTTATCTTTAATTTAAAATGGTATACAAACACTGAAAGGGTAAGGTGTCTTCGATGTGTTTCGTTAGACTATAATTATAATATTTCTAAAAACCAAATACAATCATATTAAAACTGAATCCCATTTAATCCAGTTGTATGATTTGATATGGTTTTTTTCAGCTACAGACAAAGAGTATTGAGTTGTTCAACATTCGGTCATTTTACTTTATTTGGTTCTTTATATAAACCATTCTAAGGAAATTTACTCCTTCCCCAGGAAGATCCTAAACTGTATAAATACAGATATTTGATGCACACTATGTGACATAAGATCAGAATAAAACTTATTTAAAAAAAAAGCATATCACTAGCTCTTATGACAATGAGAAATTAACTATTACTGCTTGGGAATTCAACAAGATATTGGACTGTTCTCGTTTAATTGTTGTTTTATAGTCAAACCTCTACAAACCATGGTGCAACTACGGTACTACCTCACACCAGTGTGAAGCCATTCTGCTAGAAACATCTTCAGTTGGTAGCATTTGGGCAACTTGGCAAGGTCTTGGAAGGTTGTTGCAAACTTCACATCCATACCTATATAATAGAGAGCTTTGAATTTGACTACGAGTATGAGAGCTAGATTCGTCACCAATCATGTCATTGCACCTATTTGCTATGTAGTTACGAGTATAGCAAAAGATGGCATGATTGACATGCAAGTGACAAAGCTTGTCCACATAGGATACTACCATAGCCAAATCTAAAGCTCTCTAACATACCATTCTTGACAACAAGCTTCTACTATGACAGTACAACTAAACACAACATGACTTGTTTAAACCAAAAAATGAAAAACCAATTGTTGCACACATGTGTTTCTAATACTGAAGACAAAAATGGTTATCTCTTAATTGTATGTAGTTGTGGAAGTAGATCAGCATGATAAAGGAAAGCTTGTTTGTACAAAATTGGTATATCACACATCAATGGTAGCAATAACAGCCTTTATTATTAGCATGACAAAATTACTGGATGCTGATTGGTTGAGAGGAGTACAATATTTCATTAATTGTACTGCAGTACAATTAATGATTTTCATAAAACAAACAAAATGGCGGAAAGGTATTTTAAACACAAATGTGAAATGAAATTGCACTAGAGGAACAAGATGAAAATACGAACAATAGGGCCAAATTTTGCTTGAACAAAAGAACTAAATGAAAATACAAACAAAAACACCAAATTTTGGTTGAAAGTCTGGCAGGACTGGGCTTTGGCAAGAGAATATGATGTTGACATTGAGAAGTACGTATCCAATTTTGTCATGCTAATAATAAACAAATAATCATGCGATGTTGCTCGTACAATTAGGGATTAATAGTACTTGTGATGTTTGGAAACTCGCCCCGGCGGCTTGTCCAATTTTGGCAAAATTTCCAAACATCACTCGTACTATTAATCCCTAATTGTACTCACCATCACATGATTACCTATACTTATTATATTTATTTATCATAATTATATGTGAGATGATAAAGTGAGATGATGAAATCATGGATGCTTGTCAAAAGCCACACAATGAGGCTGAATATCATATAATGTGATGGCACAATAGGAGGTAAATATTGAAGGTTGTACTTTTGAATAGATCAATCATGTACATAGGAAACCATAAACCTTCTATTAAGCCACCCCTCTCCCCCATTTCAGGAATGTTCTATAATTATACAAAGATTGTTCTTCTTGAATGCAAGGCTCGTTTTTGTTATCTAGCTAGTGCACATATTTCCATAGCAGTCTATATGTTGTCAGGACAACATTTATAAAATACAGAAGATTTTTCGTCAATAAATTATACGCTGTGGTTGTAGGTCCAACACTGGACCTTCTTTTTCCAAGGTTATAGATCTGATATTACCCATCACAAGTGAGCTAGATTGTAGAATAACCACTGTATTTTAAATATTAACTGCTTTGTTCTCCAAAAATGATAAAAATACCCATTTAGGCTGTTCAACATTTAAAGATGCTGTAAAATCCGTAATGTAAACAAACGCTTTGTTTATATTTTGAATTGCTATATAATATTTGTAAAATATGATATACTAACTGAATATCTAACACTTTTCTGGTTCACCATGCTTGTACATGAATATAAACTCTACATTTCAATTCAAAAACGTTTCTGCAGGTCCCCCTTTGTTATGAGCAGAACTGATGTGCAGAACAGACTTTACAGCATCTTTAAACTAAACAAAGCAGACTATTCGTATGGAAAGGGCATCTGAGTTTGTTTACATAAGTATACACAATGCATAGCAGAATTTTTTGCACTTTATTGTCAGGCTGTCCCTTGGCCAAAAGATCGGAATTTTAATTACATTATCTATTGTTTGAAACAAAAAATGTAAACAAAACACGCGCATGAGCAGAACAAACTTCACAGCTGCCTCTTTAACCATTGAACAAGAATTAAGGTCCGATGTTCGACTTATAACCACAGTGCAAATTTGTCAGCACACATTATACAATTATTGGACAAGGTTGAGCAACATATCGTGATTTGTCAGTGGTGAGCAGATCAATTATTTGCCGATGCCGAAGGCAGAGTTAAACAATCGATATGCGAGCCACTGGATGAAATGGCAATATTTTGCGATATAAACTGAGTTCAATAATTGTTTTATCATTTATGGTTTTTGCAATATGCAAAATTATCAAGGTCTCGGTAAGCATTATCAGCCTCGCCTTCGGCTGATAACGCTTACCTCGGACCTTGATAATTCCGCATATCACAAAAACCTCGTCCAATAATTGTCAATTATTGGCTGTTAAATTTAATATTCAACCACATTAATTATTCTACATAATTGTTTAGAACATATATATTGTAGGTCTATTCTACCGGTACATTTATTTTATTCATCCTTCATTCTTGCCAATGGTAGATCATCAGGTGAAAATGAATAAGGCAATAAATCTTGAACTGTTACCTTGGTATAAGTAGAGTCAGGCTTCACCATATAGACATCATAATCAGTCCCAAATTCTGCCATGACTTGACGACATGCACCACACGGGGTTATAGGTTTCTCAATCATATCACTAGTTATTGCGATTGCTTTAAACTTACGAAATCCACGACTAACTGCTGCTACAATAGCGGACCTTTCTGCACACCAACTGAGAGGATAAACAGCATTTTCAACACTACATCCTTGAATTATAGTCCCATCCTCGGTCCCATCTTCACACAACAGTGCAGCGCCAACCCGGACCTTGCTGTACGGAGAATAGGCACGTGTCTTCGCTGAGTGACATTCTCCTATCAATCTTTCAACTACATTTGAATTCATTCTTATATTCTTAGCTTAGAAAACCTTTCCTTCACAACTTTCTTTTATATAGCGTCTTGAAACCCTCGTAAAACAAAAGCAGCTGGTTCGTTGGCTCCAGCGCATGCGCGGATACTGTTCGAAAAGCAGCAAAAATGTACGGAAAGTTACGGAAAGTAGCCTGCGAATACTGCAATACAGACGCCTCACATCGGGCGAGGCGTCTGTATTCGCAGGCTATACGGAAAGAGGCCAAACTACTTTTTGTTAAAAATGCTAAGAAAACAGGGGCGTAGGAAGCACCTAAAAGTTGGGGGGGGGGAGGCTTTGAGGGCCACTTTTCGAATGAAAAGGGCATCTAAAAATTTTTCCCCGGAAATGTTGGCGATGGGGGATTTCCGGACATACATAACAGAATGGGTTGTTTCAGAAAAGATCCATACTCCCCCCACGGAGGAAATTTCTGCTGTCTGGAGGGGGAGGAAGACAAAATTGTTTCTGATAATAGTAAATGTATTAGGACATCCAAAGGGGGTAGGCCGTAGGGGCGTTAACTTCCAATTTCCTCCGTGGGGGTGGTATGGATGTTTTCTGGAATGACCCAATTTCAAGTTTTCAAAAGTGCCCTTTGGGCAAAAAATGCAATCTGAACGATATTTTTCACACAAGAAAAAGGGAAACAGGCCCGGAAACTTTGCTCCCGGAAAAAGGGCACTTTGGAAAACCTGGGAGAGCCTGACTCCCCCGGTTCCTACGCCCCTGCTAAGAACAGAACAAGGTTATTTTCTGACAATGATATAATTGATATTGAAATTAAAAATGCAATCAATCTCCATAACTTTGTTTTATTCAAAAATTAAATAAAAATATCGAGAAAATCAATATCATATACACTGTACCCTGGGAGCAGAGGTCTCAGTTTACTTTTATTTTTAGTGGTGACAGTAGTACTACTATTAGTTTTTACATGAAATTCCTTCCAGTCAACTCTACTTTGCCTGTTTTCATGTTTGCCTGCATGTTTTAGCATGGAAGACTCAGTGACTCACATGGCAGGTACACATGCTGTCATGGCAGGCACACATGTTATATCTCCATGTTTCGTGCACAAATGTATTTCTCTTTGATCTTGATCCCAAACACACAAGCCTCTTGTGCACAGAACATGAGGAAAAACCACATGCATAAAAATGAGGTCACTGGGGCAGGAGTGCAATGAACAGCACAGTCTATTGGTCCTTCCATCCTTAGAACTACATACATGTATATTCTTTGAAATGTCCTTAACATTTCATACATCATATCAGGTGATGAACCTTGAAACTAGTTTTTGTTGAAAACATGTAAAACAGGAGATGAGAATGTTGTGCAATGCAAATTTAGTGATTTTAGTTAGGTTAGTGTTGAGGCCTGTTTACAACTCTCAATTAAGGGAGTAATGGGAGTTCTATAGTACTGTCCAACCTCGTTCCCAAGGACAGACCCTGGGAACGAGGTTGAGTACTGTCTTGGTGATAACCCACCCAAGAACAATGGTCTTGTGTATCATACTATCATGACACAACTGGGGCTGTTTGTTCGAAGCTGGAGTAGCACTAACTCTGGGTTAAAATTTAGCCTGCTGTTTTGGTTTGTGTATTTCTGTGTGTCTGTTTACTTCAAAACTTCAGAAAACAGAACTTCCCTTGATCCAAACAAGATCTGTGGGAAAACACTGTTGGGAATAAAGATTGCTTTGAAGATTTTGTTAACCCAGGATTAAACTAACTGGCTTTTTCGGCCCCAGGAAAACAAACCGAAGCACCTGGTCTGAGCTAGGTGATAGCAGTAATACAAGCATTAGAGAAAATTGATTCAACCATAGAAAATATTAATTCAAGTCCTTAGTTTTATATCAAATTGTTATTTAAATATTGTATTTTATATAGTGTCAGTGTTTAATAACTCTCTGCCACTCTATATAAAATGAATATGAATATCCCAGGTGATATCAAATCCCTGATTTCGTCTGCGTATTGCATTCTTGTCAATGCTACGGCAGAAAAGTATCTTGAAATGGATATGGTAATATGTCTTTAATATTCACTTTCTTGTACGTGGAGTCTGTTTTAACGAGATATATATCTAAATCATTTCCAAACTCAACGATAAATTGACGACAGGAACCACAAGGATATGTCCATTTATCAGTAACATCCGTTGTAACAGAAATTGCTTTGAACTTTCGATATCCTAGACTTACTGCTCGTACTAAAGCTGCTCTTTCAGCACACAATCCGTGTCCATGAGAGACATTTTCAACATTACATCCTTGTATAATCTGACCATCCTCACACAATACGGCTGCACCAACACGAAATTTGCTGTATGGAGCATAAGCTTTTTCTTTCGCTGCATGACATTCTTGGATAAGTTTTTCTAATTCACTAGCATTCATTTCTGTTTGGATAAATGGAAAATTTATATAAAATTCATCTCCAACATCAACATGGATTGCTGGGGTATTTAATAAGCCAACGTGTCAACTGCGCATGCATTATTTCGCGCAAAATCCCGCGAAATTCGAGATTATTCAAGTACACGATTGTATCACAGAGATTGTATCAAACAAATATCAGCGTTAGTAAAGTTCTTTCGCCGAATATGTTGATATTTATTGTTACTGCAATAAAATACATCTTCTTCGTCAATTAATACCAAAAGTAAAAGTAAGTCATTTTGGAAATTTTACTGTATTTTGTATTGCTAGTAGGTAGGCGTTTGCGCATGCTCGAAGCCCAATACCGTTCAAAAAGTCGCGGAAATTTACCAAAAAAGGCCAAACAACTTTTTGTTGAAAATAAATCAAAATTTAAACAAAAAGAAGCCAAAATTGCCAAATGCAGACTTCTGCGTTACCGACTGTCCGTAGCCTCCTCCACAGGCATCTCAGAAAAGGAGGCTAACTTCTGCTGCAAACACAGCAATCTCGTACCCAGAGTATGCCCGTTCGCAGGTTAGGTGCCGGGCATGACTCTGGAGAAACGGAATACCGGATATCCAATTTTGGATATCCGGTTAGTTGTGCGCATGCTCACGCTCAAACCGCAACACTGAATTCGTGCGGGCGTCATTAGTTGCAATCATAAATAAAATCGTAGAATTCAGTCGAAAATTTGATACTTTTACATTGAAATCAATTGAAAAAGATTCATTTTCTTGTAGTTACAGAGTAAATATATATGCGGTGTATATAAACTAATCATTTTTATGGATTTTATACGGTCAAGAAATGGTATCGAGAGACTTCGCAAGAAGGCCACTGACAGAGGTTTTGTAGAGGATCTAGATTATTACAAACTATTAGATATTTTTTATAATATTAAAATATGTAGAATGCTTTATGGGCAACTGTGGACCTGTTAGCCTATTTTGTTTATTACAATTACATAGTGATACTTTAATTGGTGCATTGTATTGATATTTAAAATAAGCATGAAAATACTTCCCTCTGTTATTACTCTAGCTATATCATTCCTTTGTCCTGTGATAAGTTTGATTTAACATTGTGCCAGTACCGTAGCCAGAACGATAATTGGGGGGGGGCACATATTCATATATTCGTGTTCTGCTTTATTAATTTCTTTTGAAATCAATTGTTTTTATGGTATGTGAACACGAATATATGAATATGTGCCCCCCCCCCCAATTATCGTTCTGGCTACGGCACTGCATTATGCATTTATGCATTGCATTACATTCATACAAACAGTTCCATGGTTATATGTATTTAATTTATTTATTAATTGAGTCATAAAAAATTATGTTGACAATTAATTATTGATGCTTGAAAATAACTTAATTAAATGGAATTATGACACAGTGTTTGAACTTTGAAATGTTTTTGCTGATATAATATTATCATTTATCATAACTATTGGGTTTAACCATAGATGTATGAGACCTATCTATGGGTTTAACAATTAACACAGACTGATGTCATCAGGTTGGGTGCCTGTCTGAAAGGTGGCAGGCAAGGCAGGGTGTTGCTAAATTGCCTATCCAAATACTGGGGGCACTGATTGGGAAATCTGCCATTATTGAGGTTATGGGGTAAGCTACATTATCATATCCCTGGAAGGCAAATCATAACTTACACATGCTGATGTATGCCTGCAACAGGTATATGGCCAAGTCAAGGTAACTAGCTACTATTCCCATTAAATATGTACTGTACGTTAACTATATAATGTTGCAGGTGGAATGTAAGATGCATGTGGGATGACCTGCTGCCACTATGGCATTGTCATAGCCAGTGGTCTAGTAGGGGAGGGGCTCAGGGGGACTTAGCCCACCCCCCTCCACCAGTTTAGGACACTTTTGGAGAAAAGGGACAAAACTACCTGGGTGTGTGTGTAGGGGTGACACGCCCTGTCTCGATCTCATCAGGTATACCCATACAATTTAGTCGGGCAAATCTTGAAAATATTTGAGTGTTTCAGATTGAAAAGTAATAGTGGTAGGAAAAAGTGGTAGTGAAAAATGCTCCCCGCTCACCAACAATTTTGGGAAAAGAAATATTAATTAGCGAATGATCAAATGTTCGTCCCTCAGGAATGACTTTGGAAACAACCCTTTTGGTCAGGCAAAACAAGTTAACCTCCCCCCTCCAGCCGTAATACAGAAGCTTTGCCCCTGTTGGAGAGCCCCCCTTGTTAACATTCCAGGACTACACCACTAGTCGTAGCCATACTGATATTGTTAGCATATATAATTTCAGCACATCAAATTGTATGCTCTTACTGCAGTAGCAGATACTTTTGGTGGGAAGGCATTCGGTTGCCACAACATGAACACCTTATGGTGCTCTAAATCTCAGTCCTTTAAATTTTACCTCAAAATTCTGGCAATTTATAGCTTATTTTATTCCCAACCTATGCTTTCATGGATGCTATATCATCCAAAGGCTTTCAGAAATGGGAGAGTGGTTTGCACCCTACACTGCTGTCCTGTTTATTTTCTGTTAAGCCCCAAGCTGGCCAAGCAGCTTATTTATTTCAGGCATGGAGTCTAGAAACTATAGCTTGTATCTCAATTTGAGAGGATGTGGAGGGTTTAAATTAACAGTAGGTTTGTTATAAAATTATTACTTTAATCGAATATTCCACTACTATTTTAATCGAATATTCCACTACTATATAAATATGGCTTTAATTGATGTATTTGTAACAGATCCATAGCTCACATAATTTAATAATTTAATACTTTAATATATTTATAAAGTTATATAAAGAATATTATGGTATACTCAAAAATAGAGTCTTATATCCACACAAAAATTCAATGATGGCTATTTCCAAACGGCAAACACAGGTCCAGAACAAGCCAAAATCCCAACAGGCCAACACTGGCGATCACTGGCGCAATTGAATTGAAGTAAATATTTTGTTACATCATATCGGTAATTTATATATAAACAAACAAAAAGTATTTGCCATAATACAAGATACAAAAGTGTACAGATCGTACGTATAAATCCTCAATCAGATTAAATGTAACAATTAACTTGTATTTGAAATCTTGCAAATAAATGCAATTTCGACTTTGTTTACGTCGATTCGTGAATTTCCACGTGTAATTCCCGCACTTGAACACCAATTTCCGGTATCGGTGTTATTGATCTCACGCCAGCCAATGAAATTGATAATTTCATTCCGTTTCTCCAGAGTCATGCCCAGCACCTAACCTGCGAACGGCCATACTCTGGGTACGAGATTGAGTGGTATGCTGACAACCTCGTACCCAGGACTAGTCGCGAATTGTAGGCGGCGACATAGCCCTGGTAAACGCTGGTCACGTGTCAGGCAAATACTCCAAGATTCTTGGAGTATTAGCCTGCGAGCGGGCTTTGTGGAAATGAAGACAGGGGTATGGTGTCCTAGGAGAGACATCAACATTTTTGTTTCATTTTTGAATTTATTTGCATTCAATTTACATTTAATGTATTTTTATTTTTAAAATTGATCTTTTTCTTGTTTCTATTTTGTTTTAAATTATTTTACAACGTTTCAACTCAATTGGTTTTAATTTTAAAATTAATGATGTCTCTTCTCGGACATGACGATTTAAAAAAAAAACCTCATGTCCGAGAAGAGACATTACGTCACAGATTAAGTATGACCAGATGTGAATCTTAATAGGACTTCGTCACAGAATAAAGACATACAGAAGGTAGACTCGAGTAACTGCTGCCACGCCATAATTCGTCATCAAAATACTGAAGCCATGGTCCTAGCCAGTGCGCTTATGAGAGGCATTCCCCCCTGGACTTCCGCCATTTTGAATATTATCAGGGGGGTGAATGCTTCTCAAACGCGCACTGGCTAGGGCATGGCGTCAGCATTTTCATGACGAATTACGGTTACGCCAAAATCATTGGAAAATCATAGGAAAAACCAAAAAGTTGGGCAACTGTGTAGCCTATTCTGTGACTTCGTGCCCTCAAATTTCCCTAGATGCACATACACGTCATGCTCATGCCATCATGGCCATCACATTTGGTAGCAAAATGGCGTCCTGAAAAACACGAACTTTTGCACTTTATTGCGGCCTTTTTGGGTCGAAATTTTTGGATTAAACAATCAATGTTGAATGTTGTTGAAAAGTGTTGAAAGCATTTTTAAAAGCAAGACGTATTACCAAATGACGAATTATCACGCGAGCGACACTTGATAGGAAGATGGCGATCGTGGGACAACTTTTTACTGAAGTTACACATCTGGGGCCGGTTGTATAAAAACGTAGTTAGCGCTAACTACGTTTTTATACAACCGGCCCCTGTTCTTAATCTGTGATTATATCTATATAGCTAAGTGCATTAACGTGATTTACCGCTGACCACGATTGTCAGATGAGGCGCATGCTCTCCCCAGTCTCTCTGCGGCAGTTAGGTCAAACTGAAAGCATGGCGGACGAAGGTGAGTTCAAGAAGAACCAGAAGATTATGGCAGCAAAGAGGACAAGAAAAAGAGAACGAAACAAACTTGGAAAGGGTAAAGACCGGCTCTCGTACCTGAAAAATTAACAATTCAGCGATTATCGAATATCAGCTCAAGTTAAAGGATCTTCCCAAAAGTATGCCAGAATGGGGCCTTTAGTGTGACTATATATTGTTTGTGGATGAATCGTACAAAAAATGTGCCATTAAGGCTATGTTTACATTGTATCGGATCAGTTTTTGTTTCGTTCGCGAAAAGTTACGGCCCGAGTGTAAACAGCTTCCGCCCGCCCATCTATGCCGTCGTATTTTCTTCTATATATTATTAGAATAGTAAGTTGTTGTTTGCCAGATTCCATCCGAGTCACGCATTGAACCAAAATTGCTCCGATTGGTGTTACCATTACAATGAGAGCGTTGCAAAAACCGATCCGATACACCGCGCACCACTTCGAAGAGCGAACCGCCGCCCCACTGTTCGTTGCAGAAATTGAGACGATAACAACATTTCATATGTAAACAGAAGCCCTATCCGGTATGATTTTTGCGTCGGACGCAAAGTGATCCGATACAATGTAAACATAGCCTAAGATTCTTTAATTCGTTTAGATTTTCGATAGGTGGTCCTCGCTCAGTTTCTAGTATATTACAATCAAACCCCTTCATGTTGAAACCATCAATACAAGCCCTTCTCACAACATCAATAGTTGGTGGTGCACACATGTCTTCCAAAAACATTTTAAAGGGTAAAAACATTAAAAAACATTGTACTCTTTTTAAAGGCCCCATTCTGGCATACTTTTGGGAAGATCCTTTAACTTGAGCTGACAATCGCTGAATTGTTAATTTTTCAGGTCTTTACCCTTTCCAAGTTTGTTTCGTTCTGTTTTTCTTGTCCTCTTTGCCGCCATAATCTTCTGGTTCTTCTTGAACTCATCTACGTCCGCCATGCTTTCAGTTTGACCTAACTGCCGCAGAGAGACTGGGTAGAGCATGCGCCTCACCCGACAATCCTGGTCAGCGGTAAATCACGTTAATGCATTTAGCTATATAGATATGGTGATCGCTAGATAGTATACTTCAAAATAAGGTTTCCATTTTTATAACGTAGAAAAAACTATCCTAACGCAAAGCTAAACCCTAACCCTAATACAAACCCCCACCCTAACCCTAACCTAACCCTAACCTAAACCCTAACCTAACCCTAACTTATTTTAATTATTTTAAAAATTGATATAAAAACGGAAATCTTATTTTGAAGTATACTATCGAGCAATTGCCATATAGATATAATCACAGATTAATGAGAGATGTGTAACTTCAGTAAAAAGTTGTCCCACAGTCGCCATCTTCCTATCAAGTGTCGTTCGCGTGATAATTCGTCATTTGGTAATACGTCTTGCTTTCAAAAATACTTTCAACACCTTTTCGACAACTTTAATTGCTTTCAACAACTTTAATTAAACATTCAACAATGATTGTTTAATCCAAAAATTTCGATCCAAAAAGGCCGCAATAAAGTGCAAAAGTTCGTGTTTTTCAGGACGCCATTTTGCTAGCAAATGTGATGGCATGAGCATGACGTGAATGCACATCTAGGGAAATTTGAGGACACAAAGTCACAGAATAGGCTATTTGATTTTTCCTATGATTTTCCAATGACTTTAGCGTAACCATAGTTCGTCATGAAAATGCTGACGCCATGCCCTAGCCAGTGCGCGTTTGAGAAGCATTCACCCCCCTGATAATATTCAAAATGGCGGAAGTCCAGGGGGAATGCCTCTCATAAGCGCACTGGCTAGGACCATGGGGTCAGTATTTTGATGACGAATTCTGTTTCATCATTGGTCATTGGTCGCTACGGAGTCATGTGATTATATGAGAAAGCGCGCGAACCGGAAGATCAGTTGTGCAAGATCCTTGCGAAGGTCAGTTCAAAGAAAACCAGAGTGATATTTAAAACGACTAAAATCCTTCATCCGTGACTATGGCTGCGACTAACTCTGCTGAAAGGGACGCCCTTTCGGAGGAGCTTCTGAGAAGCAGCTTTGTTATTAGCCGGTGAAGACGAGCAAGAAGACAGTTCTAAAGACGAAGACAATCTAAACCTCAAGGCTATGGTTAAGAGCATGGGCGAGGATTTGAGATCTGTTCTCAAACGTCTTTCTCGGGTCGAAACTGACAAGGAAAGACCAACGAAAAGACTCCGAGTTGCTGAAGAAACAGAGAGTGATAGTCCACACTCTGACGCAGAAGTGGAACTCTCAGATTCAGAGCAGCTGTCACGAAGCACTACTGGACTAAGATAATACCAAAACTCTTTAATTATTTCTTTAATTACAATACTCAACAACGATTAATCTCCACGAAATACATCTCACAATTTCACCTTAACTCTACAATATCTCACTTCCATGCGGTTCTCTCTCCTCCAAAAACACATGCACTAAAAGGCGCTAAAACACATACACTAAAAGGCGCTTCTCTACACTCCCCCCACCTAAAATCAACTTGATTACTGACTATATCAGTTCACTGGTTAACTCAACACGAAAGTAGGTATAAAATAGTTCAAATCAACAAAGTTCATGCAACACTTCCATTACTATAATTGTGTTTAACTTATCTGTTCACAGTGTTTAATAATCCAACACAGGTACTCCATAACGATCGGGTTGTCTTCGATTCTGTCTTAAGTTATAACGTAAATTTAATGGTTCTGCTTGATCATCGATTCCACGTGGTGCTAAACGTACTCCAGCACGCTCATTAATAAGTTCAATCGTAGACTCATCGGAATCAGAACTTAGCATGTCTTCCGATTCCTCACCCAATGGATTAGCAACTGTTTCTACGACAAACCGTCTTAGATTATTCGCATGTACAACTTTACGCTTTCTGCTTTCCAATGACTCTATCTCGCAATCGTTCTCTCGAATGTTAACAATGATGTAAGGACCTGTATACTTTTCATCTAAACCTCGCGCTCGAAAATTCTTTAATAGAACAGTGTCCCCCATGTAAAACCGCTTGTTTTGTTGTGCTCGATATCGTAAATCATAACTACGTTTCTGCTTCTCTTGCGCTTTCTCGATCCTTTTAGTAACCAATTTCCGGAGAATATCTTGTCTCTTCTTTAACTCTTCAACGTATTTGGCTGGACCATGTGTTGGGCTAGATACCAGTTTTTCTTGATCCGTTCCAAACGGCAATCTCACTTCTCTACCATATAACATTTCGAATGGTGTCACACCCGTAGAGGATTGCGTACTAACCCGATAAGCCAGTAACGCATGTGGCAGCTGCTCGTCCCAATCATTTTTCTCTTTGTTTACTCTCATTCTCAACAAGGATTTCAAAATACCATTAAACCGCTCGCATAACCCGTCTGTTTGGGGATGGTAGGCTGTAGTCCGTCTCTTTTCAATTCCAAACATTTCACATAGACTTGCAATCACTTTGGACTCAAAATTACTGCCTTGATCTGTTAGTAGGACTGAGGGCATTCCATGTCTAGCAAAGATGTCTTCCAGGGCTCTCGCAACTGTAACTGCTTCTTGATTTGGCAATGCTACTGCCTCTGCGTACTTTGTGTAGTAATCAACGACTGACAAAATGTATTTGTTTCCTTTACTAGTTGTTTTTAATGGACCAATAATGTCTACACCAATCATATAAAATGGTATGGGTATCACTTCGATTGGCTTCATCGGACTCCGTGGCCTAGGTACGGCTTTATTTTTGGAACAAACTTCACAATTTCTACAAAATTCTTCAACAGCTTTAAAGAATCCAGGCCAATAAAACTTCCGTTGAATCATCTCAAACGTTTTTGCAACACCTAAATGTCCAACTTGACAGTGGGCTTCTTTCAGTATGTTAGGAGTTAGATGGGTAGGTACCACAATTTGCTCTCGTTCCTTTGCTGTTTTATCAGTCCACTTTCGACATAAGACATGATTTTTGACAACCAATGAATCAAAATTCTTGTATAATGTATCTAGAGTTACACTCACATCAACCGGTTTTTGATCTGGTCTAGAACCACTTTGCACCCATTCTTTAACCAACTGAATATCCTCATCGAACGTTTGCATGTCTTCAAACTCTTGCCAGGTTGACATCGAAATCAAGATAGTGTTCACAGGTGCACGAGACAAGGCATCCGCATGCTGCATTTTCGTGTTAGGTAGGTGTTCTATCGTATAGTCATATTCTTCCAATTTTAAGATCCAACGACCTAATTTACCATTTGGATGTTTGATGTCTCGAAGCTATTTCAAAGCCTTATGATCAGTATATATGGTGACCTTTCTCCCATATACATATGGGTGAAAGTATTGTAAAGCCCAGACCACTGCAAATGCTTCCAGCGTAAAATTGCGTTGATGATCAGATACATTAGAATACGTTTGATTCACGCGAACATACTAATTAGCATTTTGTGCCGTGGTAGCATGCTAATTTGATAGAAATTATCTAAAATTTGCGCTCTAATAATGCCATTTAATCTATATTTTTGGTAAGGAGACGTTTTGATAAAATGAAAAAATCAGTGGGCCAGGCGTAAAATTGTGTTGATGATCAGATACATTAGAATACGTTTGATTCACGCGAACATACTAATTTGCATGTTGTGCCGTGGTAGCATGCTAATTTGATAGAAATTCTCTAAAACTTGCGCTCTAATAATCGCCATTTATCCTATATTTTTGGAAAGGAGACGTGTTGATAAGATAAAAAAATTAAAAAAAACAGTTGGCCAGGCGCAAAATTGCGTTGATTACTAGATTGATTAGAACACGTTTAATTCACGCCAGCGTATTTAATTTGCATTTGATAGCATGCTAATGTGATGGAAATTAATGGAATTTGCGCTCTAATAATCTATACTTATGCTATATTTTTGAGGAGACTTATTTAAAATCAAAAAATGAAAAGACCAGTTGGTCAGGCGGAAAATTGCGTTGATGATTAATTTGAGACACTAATAACTTCAGACACTATTAATTTGTGGCGTGGTGCTAATTTGATAGAAATTCTCTAAAACTTGCGCTCTATGATAATCGCTATTGATCCTACATTTTTGGGAAGGAGACGTGTTGATAAAATAAAATAAAAAATGAAAAAATCAGTGGGCAAGGCGTAAAATTGCGTTGATGATCAGATACATTAGAATACGTTTGATTCACGCGAACGTACGTGGTAGCATGCTAATTTGATAGAAATTCTCTAAAACTTGCGCTGTAATAATCGCCATTGATCTTACATTTTTGGGAAGGAGACGTGTTGATAAAATAAAAAATGAAAAAAAGCAGTGGGCCAGGCGTAAAATTGCGTTGATGATCAGATACATTAGAATACGTTTGATTCACACGAACGTACTAATTTGCATTTTGTGCCGTGGTAGCATGCTAATTTGATAGAAATTCTCTAAAACTTGCGCTCTAATAATCACCATTTATCCTATATTTTTGGAAAGGAGATGTGTTGATAAGATAAAAAAATAAAAAAACAGTTGGCCAGGCGCAAAATTGCGTTGATTACTACATTGATTAGAACACGTTTAATTCACGCCAGCGTATTTAATTTGCATTTGATGGCATGCTAATGTGATGGAAATTAATGGAATTTGCGCTTTAATAATCTACACTTATGCTATATTTTTGAGAAGGAGACTTATTTAAAATCAAAAAAATGAAAAGACCAGTTGGTCAGGCGGAAAATTGCATTGATGATTAATTTGAGACACTAATAACTTCAGACACTATAAAACTTGCGCTCTATGATAATCGCTATTGATCCTACATTTTTGGGAAGGAGACGTGTTGATAAAATAAAATAAAAAATGAAAAAATCAGTGGGCAAGGCGTAAAATTGCGTTGATGATCAGATACATTAGAATACGTTTGATTCACACGAACGTACGTGGTAGCATGCTAATTTGATAGAAATTCTCTAAAACTTGCGCTGTAATAATCGCCATTGATCTTACATTTTTGGGAAGGAGACGTGTTGATAAAATAAAAAATGAAAAAAAGCAGTGGGCCAGGCGTAAAATTGCGTTGATGATCAGATACATTAGAATACGTTTGATTCACGCGAACATACTAATTTGCATTTTGTGCCGTGGTAGCATGCTAATTTGATAGAAATTCTCTAAAACTTGCGCTCTAATAATCGCCATGTAATCTATATTTTTGGGAAGGAGACGTTTTGATAAAATAAAAAAATGAAAAAATCAGTGGGCCAGGCGTAAAATTGCGTTGATGATCAGATACATTAGAATACGTTTGATTCACGCGAACGTACTAATTTGCATTTCGTGCCGTGGTAGCATGCTAATTTGATAGAAATTCTCTAAAACTTGCGCTCTAATGATCGCCATTTATCCTATATTTTTGGAAAGGAGACGTGTTGATAAAATAAAAAATAAAAAAAAACAGTTGGCCAGGCGCAAAATTGCGTTGATTACTAGATTGATTAGAACACGTTTAATTCACGCCAGCGTATTTAATTTGCATTTGATAGCATGCTAATGTATGGAAATTAATGGAATTTGCGCTCTAATAATCTATACTTATGCTATATTTTTGAGGAGACTTATTTAAAATCAAAAAATGAAAAGACCAGTTGGTCAGGCGGAAAATTGCGTTGATGATTAATTTGAGACACTAATAACTTCAGACACTATTAATTTGTGGCGTGGTGCTAATTTGATAGAAATTCTCTAAAACTTGCGCTCTATGATAATCGCTATTGATCCTACATTTTTGGGAAGGAGACGTGTTGATAAAATAAAATAAAAAATGAAAAAATCAGTGGGCAAGGCGTAAAATTGCGTTGATGATCAGATACATTAGAATACGTTTGATTCACGCGAACGTACGTGGTAGCATGCTAATTTGAAAGAAATTCTCTAAAACTTGCGCTGTAATAATCGCCATTGATCTTACATTTTTGGGAAGGAGACGTGTTGATAAAATAAAAAATGAAAAAAAGCAGTGGGCCAGCCGTAAAATTGCGTTGATGATCAGATACATTAGAATACGTTTGATTCACGCGAACGTACTAATTTGCATTTTGTGCCGTGGTAGCATGCAAATTTGATAGAAATTCTCTAAAACTTGCGCTCTAATAATCGCCATGTAATCTATATTTTTGGGAAGGAGACGTTTTGATAAAATAAAAAATGAAAAAATCAGTGGGCCAGGCGTAAAATTGCGTTGATGATCAGATACATTAGAATACGTTTGATTCACGCGAACATACTAATTTGCATTTCGTGCCGTGGTAGCATGCTAATTTGATAGAAATTCTCTAAAACTTGCGCTCTAATGATCGCCATTTATCCTATATTTTTGGAAAGGAGACGTGTTGATAAGATAAAAAATTAAAAAAAAACAGTTGGCCAGGCGCAAAATTGCGTTGATTACTAGATTGATTAGAACACGTTTAATTCACGCCAGCGTATTTAATTTGCATTTGATAGCATGCTAATGTGATGGAAATTAATGGAATTTGCGCTCTAATAATCTATACTTATGCTATATTTTTGAGAAGGAGACTTATTTAAAATCAAAAAATGAAAAGACCAGTTGGTCAGGCGGAAAATTGCGTTGATGATTAATTTGAGACACTAATAATTTCAGACACTATTAATTTGTGGCGTGGTGCTAATTTGATAAAAATTCTCTAAAACTTGCGCTCTATGATAATCGCTATTGATCCTACATTTTCGGGAAGGAGACATGTTGATAAAATAAAATAAAAAATGAAAAAATCAGTGGGCAAGGCGTAAAATTGCGTTGATGATCAGATACACTAGAATACGTTTGATTCACGCGAACGTACTAATTTGCATTTTGTGCCGTGGTAGCATGCTAATTTGATAGAAATTCTCTAAAATTTGCGCTCTAATAATCGCCATTTATCCTATTTTTTGGGAAGGAGACGTTTTGATAAAATAAAAAATGAAAAATCAGTGGGCCAGGTGTAAAATTGCGTTGATGGTCAGATACATTAGAATACGTTTGATTCACGCGAACGTACGTGGTAGCATGCTAATTTGATAGAAATTCTCTAAAACTTGCGCTCTATGATAATCGCTATTGATCCTACATTTTTGGGAAGGAGACGTGTTGATAAAATAAAATAAAAAATGAAAAAATCAGTGGGCAAGGCGTAAAATTGCGTTGATGATCAGATACATTAGAATACGTTTGATTCACGCGAACGTACGTGGTAGCATGCTAATTTGATAGAAATTCTCTAAAACTTGCGCTGTAATAATCGCCATTGATCTTACATTTTTGGGAAGGAGACGTGTTGATAAAATAAAAAATGAAAAAAAGCAGTGGGCCAGGCGTAAAATTGCGTTGATGATCAGATACATTAGAATACGTTTGATTCACGCGAACGTACTAATTTGCATTTTGTGCCGTGGTAGCATGCTAATTTGATAGAAATTCTCTAAAACTTGCGCTCTAATAATCGCCATTTATCCTATATTTTTGGAAAGGAGACGTGTTGATAAGATAAAAAACCCAAAAAAAACAGTTGGCCAGGCGCAAAATTGCGTTGATTACTAGATTGATTAGAACACGTTTAATTCACGCCAGCGTATTTAATTTGCATTTGATAGCATGCTAATGTGATGGAAATTAATGGAATTTGCGCTCTAATAATCTATACTTATGCTATATTTTTGAGAAGGAGACTTATTTAAAATCAAAAAATGAAAAGACCAGTTGGTCAGGCGGAAAATTGCGTTGATGATTAATTTGAGACACTAATAACTTCAGACACTGCCACTTTCATGAGAAACTGAAAGAGGAGCATTTCCATCTAACTCCGAGCTCCAGAATGAGAAACAGTTTGGCAGAAGACCTATTGGATAAAAACATGTTTCTTTTAAAGAAGGAAAAACTTAAATGATGTTTTTTTGAAATTACGAGAATGATCGTATTCATGTTTCATTTATCGACTATAAATAGGCTTACAAAGATAACCTCGCGACTGTTGTCAGAGAGAATCCTAACCGACTTGGGTAAAAAATTTCCTGCATTAGAAACTACGTTGAATCGGCTTCCAAGTGTAATAGAAGGTAACTAAACATTCTTTCCGCAACAATGGTAAAATTAGGTTGCTATTTTCCCCAATTCTAAACTTTCGGTTGTAATTTCCCCAAATTTTAACTTCCGAATGCCTATTATAACTTTGTCGTTTAAAATAAAGTCTTACTCAAAACGATATTTCTTCTCCAATATATGAGTTCGAGCAAGACTTCACTTGAGGACAGGATGGTTATAATAGGCATTCGGAAGTTTAAATTTGGGGAAATTACAACCGAAATTTACCGTTGTTGCGGAAAGAATTTTTGGTTATATTTTTCGGTTCTTGGAAGCTAATTCAACGTAGTTTCTAATGCCGCAACAATTACTACCGGAACTCTAATATTGGAGAAGAAATAGCGTTTTGAGCAAGACCTCATTATAGCTAATCGACGCCAGAATGGTTATAATAATAGGCATTCTGAAGTTAAAATTTGGAAAAATGGGAACCGTTACCATTGTCGCGGATAGAATGTTTAGTTGCCTTTTGCAGACATTTTAAACCAAAAACACTGGTATTGGAAATTTTGTATACAAAATTTTAAATATATATAATTTTTTATAATTGTAGGTGTCTATCTTCGCAACACTACACAAATTTGTAGGGATGAGCCAATTAACCGGTAAATAATCGGCAAAGCCGATTAATCGGCCGTTTTTTAAATAATCGATAATCGGCCGATTATTGCATGATAATCGGCAAATAATCGGCCATAAGACTTTTTCTGCAGCTGTCAAGCACATGCTAAAATGCGGAATATAAGCGAATAGATTTTCACATTTTGTTGCAAAACCTGTGTCTTTTGTCTCAAGCGAAGTGAAGATGGGAACATTTCCACTGAAAAACGCAGCAAACTACAGGGTAGCTCCGCATAGCTGACAATATCCTGTTTTTACACCATAATCTGCCAAAACTAAACTTTGAGCAGTTGACATGCAAGATTGAAGCTGTTTTTAATTGTACATAATGTGTATTGTAAACAATAAAACCACATTAATTTTACAACTTCATTGTTGGTCATCTTGTGATTTTGCGCTTGCTTTTTAAAATAATCGGCAGGTACCGATTAATCGGCCGATTAGTTACGATAATCGGCTTATAAATAACCGGCCTCAGTAATCGGCAATTTTCCTTATCGGCTCATCCCTACAAATTTGCCCCCTATGGTTTGACGAACACAAACGGTATGCCGGTTTGTAAATCGTGCGCAGTTCTTTCAATATGTCTTATCATCGCCCAGTCCGTGTTCTTTGCTTTCTTTCCGTCGCATTCGCACACCATCGTTCCGTTTTTTTGGTACCACAAGCGAATGATACCTCGCCACGACAATTCTTCCATTGTCTTCCCTTTAAATTTTCCTTTAAATGCTCCTTGATACTGCCCGCGAATTTGGTTTTTACCATAGGCGTTGACCAACAACTGCAGAAAAACGTGTTCCCCCCCATCCACTTCGTCCTCATCTCCATCTTTCACCCCATCCTGATCTCTACCCACATCTCCACCCCCATCCTCATCTCCGTCTGTCTCCCCATCCTCTCCATCCTTATCTCGATCCTCATCTCCACCTTTCACCCCATCCTGATCTCTACCCACATCTCCATCCCCATCCTCATCTCCGTCTGTCTCCCCATCCTCTCCATCCTTATCTCGATCCTCATCTTCGTCTGTCTCCCCGTCAGTTTCCTGGCGAACCTCCTGCACACGCGACGCCAACTTGTCTACGTCTGGTTCTCTTGAAAGGTCCTGAACAGAAAACAATTTTGTTAAGCCTGGTTTTCATCGTAATTAATCGGCGATGTCTATCAGTGGTCTTTGCATAAAAGAACATCCTAGAACATCGCCGATAGATTTATTAAAAAAAACAAGACGCCCTGAGGCGGTAGCTTGGACTACCTGGGTTGGACCACCTGCCTAGTGGACCACCTCCCTAGTAGCAGGGCAAAGTGAAATGCCTCAAATTTTGCTTTGACCCTTACTGTAAGCCAAATCTGTATATGTATTAATAAGGCTTTTCAAAAAGCAGTTTAATAGACCTTATGCTTAATGGCGTCAGAAGGCCGGACGCGCGCAGTGAATTATGGTCTTTGTGGTCACGCTGAGAGAAATAATTTCAAAATGGCTTGTATCGAAAGATCTCCTTTCAGGTTGTAAATGTCTTTTACAGGCTATTCAAACCAACTAAGACTCCAGTTCTTCTAAGAATTCGTGCTCGAGTCCTTTTCGGTTGTATAACTGTCAAAGTCACTGCAGTGGAGTGGTTTCTTCGCCGAAATTTACGAGGCGAAGTGGGGGTGCTGTATTCTCGCTATAGTCTCTAGTGTCGAACACTAGTGCAAATAGTCTTTAATCTGACAAGAGTGATAGGATAAAATACTTGGAGAAACCTCCAGCGTTTATTCATGAAATTTTGGAATATAATCTCGTGAAAAATAGACAAACAAATAAAACAATGCCTGATGTGGCTCCAAAAGCTCATCGGCATTGAAACAATGATGTCAATCTCGTACGCCATTTGTTTCTGCAAGATGGCAA